TCTGCACAACACGGATGGAAAGTTACAAGGGTTTTCAGACTTAAGTAACTTCTTTTTACTTGCAGCAGGATGTCTACCAGCAGCGTCCTTTACGTCTCATTTACCATCTCATTTACCTTTCTTCTGATAGTGTTCATTTGTACTTTATGCCAGTCACAATGTTTGAATTAAAATATTGTTGCATTGCTCACTAAAATTACTATTTGTATCCTTTTTAACAGAACAAATTAAATTTAAGCAGTGTTTCTACAGTTCTGTAACCAAAATTAAAACCATCTGTCTCTGGTACACTGGTATTACTGAAAAGCAGTTAAGATTGCGTTGAGGTATAGCACGGTTCATGGCATCTCAGAAAGACAGCTTACTATATCTGAACTGTGAGGATGTTTCAGATGACAAAATGTGTTGCCAGCTGTACAGAAAATAAGGTTTGGGTGCTTCAGAGTTTCTATAATACAGAATATATTCCATTTTGGGAGTACAAAGACTCCTCCCCTCTTCTGAGACACCCTTTTGGGCACAGGGAAGGGCAGCATCAATAAAGAAGAAGCGTGGTCTACTTCTAGCACTTGTCTCAAGAGTGCACATGTTAAAACCACTAGGAGTGTGGCGGGGGTGAAGGGAAGTAGACATAGCAGGGCCAGGCTGTGCATCAGGAGATAACATTGCTGGTATTCTATCATGAATGCCACAGTACTGTAATATGTCAGAGTTGGATAATTTTGACAGTTATTTGGTATCACATAGAATAAGGATGGAGGATAAAAAACTTTTTCAGGTTGACTTAATGGTGATGCAAAACTGTGTCCTGAACTTTAGCAGTAGCATGTTTCACATTCATTTTGAAAAAAACCCTACCTGCTCATACACACACTGGGGTACCATTTAGACAGTCTTCTGTATTGGCTTTCTTCCACCCTTATAGTTGGAATTTTATCCAATTAATAATGAATATTTTCAGTAAACACAGAACACAAAAAATACAGTGCTACAATATATATTGTTAATTTTCTACCAATATTATCGGGTTGGGCGTTCAGTGTAGCATTTTACAGCTATGTGTTTTGTTCTAGTGTATCATCTTTACGGTTGGCCTACAGAGATCTTGATATTAAAACAAAAGAAGAAAACTTAAATCTATCTAGTAAGAAGAAAAATGAATTGGAGAGACTTGGCATGGGGTTTGGCAACAACAGAAGGTACATGAGGCTCTATGAACTGTATTTAAAATACTCTGTGACTTTATGCAGTTACCCTTCATTTTACTTAGGAAATTAAAAAATATACTTGTGTGTTATGGAAGCTTAAGCAATATCATCAAAGAATCTAGTATCTGTCAGGGGGAAGGGGCAGGATTGCTTCTGATAGATTTAAGTTCTAACCCGCCAGACAGGTGTTAACCTAAACTGTAGGACATCTGTGGGGCGTTTGCCCCCATTAGCTGGCTATGAGGAAGGTGGCCAGGGTGTTTCAGTGAACAGTACCAATCTCAGTATAGTCTGTCTTTACAAGCCAAAACTCTGAAAATGTCACATTGCTGTGTTTTCCAGCTGCTGGAATGGTCTGTGTGTTCAGAAGTCCTAACTATAGTTGAATTTTCCAGTGGTTTTTTGTTTTGTTTTGTTTTTAAATTCCTCCTTTCTTCTTAAAGGTTTTTGTAGCTTGGGCTTTATCAGCAAGTTTCAGATACTAGATTTGGGCTTTTTTTTTTTTTTTTTTTTTTTTTTTTTTAAGGATTTGAGCTTTGTCATCTCTTTACATACTTATTTTCTTCCCATCCCCAGCTGCGTTTCTCACTCGGTCATCTCAGATATGCAAACAATAGAGCAGGAAACACCTGTGATTGCAAAGCCGAAGAAAAAGTACACTGATGATGTAGAAGACTCATATTTCTCTTCTAGTTCAAGGTGATGTATAAACTTTTTATTTTGAGTGGGGGTAGAAGTATATGCAAGTTATGTATTCAAATGTATACAATATATTTGGAACTTAAGAACAAAACAGAAGACAGTTGGACATGTCTACACACCTAGCACCCTGAAAAGGGGACATCTGAACCAGAAAAATTGTGAAATAGTTGGCCTTACCTTGATTACAGATGTATTTATAAAGAAGTGGTGTTACTTTTTTCTGAGGAGAAGGCAGTCTGAATTACATGTTCACAGGTTTCTGTCTTGTTCAGGGTCTATTCTCTACTTGCACAGCCAGTTGCCATATAAGCTTTTATTTGCTGTATACAGAATCCAGTGAAGTTTTTGTCAGAATGACTTGTGTTCATTCTTTCTCCCTGCTCCCTCCCCCCCCCCGGTAGTCTTCAACTTTCAATTTGAAATTAAACAAATATCAAAGTCTGATACTAGATACACTACAGTTACATCAGTCTTTTAACTGGACACATGCCAAATGAGAAAGCTTAAATCTTTTTGAGGTATTGTGTGTTGGATGTGTCATGTAGATGGCTGCAGTCTTATTTGGTAGACGTCTATGTATTTGAACATAAAATGTAAGCAAAAAATAATTGATGAATTTTTGATCAGAGCATGAATGCAATGCAAATTACAAAATACTGCTGTTGGGAGGGAGAAGAGAAAGAATTGGTCCTACAGGCACTAATTGCAATGGAACAGCTGTCTCTGGGATGATAGATAGAAACAGGTCTTGCTTTTATAAACTGCCTTTATTGGATTGGTGCCACAGAAACATGAAAAATTGTACCTAATTACTTGTAGATGGGCAAATAGAGTCACAAAGGCTTTTGTGTCATTACTTTGTAGCGTAATAACTAGTGGCATTAATGCAAATGTGGTATCAAGTGAACCAGCAGCAGTCTTGCAAAAGAAACTGTATAATTTCAGTGCGTCTCTATTTGTTCCTTGAAAAGAACTGTTACTGCTCTCAAACTATTCATAAGCCTACTAGCAGGCAAAGGATGAATTATGGAAAAGGCTTTTTAATCTGTTTTGGTTCAATAATTAGAAGATAAATTGTAACCTAGCTGTTCCCGGCTCTTCTTCTAGTTATAGCAATAGTAGAATCTAATTGGAGTTGGTATACAAATTCATTTTCTTTAAAGGAAGTATAAAGTCAGATTGTTGGACTTGGTAAAGTTGGTGAGGTGGTTATTATCCTTTATTCCAAGCTGTGACTTTGAGGTAGAGGTAAAGTATTTTTAATATCATCTTAGTATATACCCCAAAGCAAAATATTCATGCTGGATATTAGAGTGCTGATAAGTATCTATAAATTAAGCAAGCTAAATGTCTTAAGGTTTAGCTATATAATTGAAGCCTCTCAAAATCCTTGGATTTTAATCTTTGTTGCTGCTAAAATTAGTAAAATCTTTATTAACATAACAACGTAAAATTTTATTTTCTGTTAAATGCATTTTTTTGTTTCTCCCTCTGCCCCTGCCCCGCCCAAATACTGAAGAAGTAGTTTGCAAAGTTACAAAAATCTTCAAGGGAAGGATAGAGAAAATAAGTAATTAATACAAATCAGCACTTGTAGGCCCTGCCTCGTCCCATGGTTTTGATGGCCATTGTGCGATTGGATAGCTTCATATATACATACACACACACACATAATATGTCTTGTTGTCATTACACATCCATATGGAACTTTTAAAGATTGCTGTGGCTTCTTCATTAGGTGGGCAGGAATAAGAGCCTTGCTATGTACTAGCTTCCTTGCAGGTTGTTAACTGTGCTTCTACAGTCTGCTACCATAGGAACATATGACATAGAAACTGAGAAGTCAGGCCAAAAGAAAATGACCCTGGTTGTAGGAAAGCATGTAGCGCCTTGCCATATTTCTAAGCTGATGCAAGAGAGAGGCAGCTGAAAGAAGAAATTTGGAATACCAACTACTTTCTGGTGCTGTACCGCCCTTGTCTGGGAGTTTCTGCTTTCCTTTTATTTATTTTACGTGTGATATTGCACTGAAAACAACCTAAGCTCACAGGAATAGTGAAAGATAGAATTGGTGTTCTGATGTGCCCCAAAATGTAGATTCTGTGATTTTTCCTTTCTTTTCAGCTTTTATCTATGACTCTTACTTCGGATTTTCCACCCGTATCCAAAAGTTGGAGGGGGGTAAAAAGCCTCATTTAGCAGGAAAAAAATACCTTCAGGACTCTACTGGGTGTAACATCTACTCTGTGGGTTGTGATACTGTGAAGATGAAGGTTGCCTTGCAGTGAATCTCCTTTGCTGAGAGTGCTAAATGCTCTTCCCTTTGTCAGGAGGGAAGGGGAGAGACTCCTGCTTTTTGTAGAAGTTCCTTCCAGATCTGTCCCTGCTATTTTACATGTGCAGAGGTGGGAGACTTTGCTGCTGAAGGCATTACATTTCTCATAAACTGCAGGAACAATGCCCTGACTATTCATGTAGAACATGTAGAATGTTTTTTTAAAGGTGCTTTTCACAAAATACAGATGCAGACTTTAATATCCTGTGCTTGTTCTAATACATTTTTTTTTTAATCTAATCAATGATTCCATTCTGCTAGCCTCCTGTTGTTTTGATCATCTTATTCCCTATCCTGGTCGTATCCAAACTTTAAGAAATCTTATTTAACCACAAAGTGAAATTCTTAATCTTTGGCATTTTAGTAGGTTTTTTTTTTTTTAAGTATTTTCCCTATAGGTTTAGATCTGTGTAGATAATTGAAGGGGAAAAGGTCAAGATAAGGTACCATGGGAATTGACAAACATGCTTCATTTGTTTTCCTTTTCTTTCTGTTTGTGTTTTCCCTGCAGTTTTGATATGCAAGAGAAGATTATCTTAATTTAATAAGACTCACTTTTAAGAAATATGTTGCTTAGAATTGTTCTAATAAAATGTGTTACAAAGGTCAGAGGTATTTAATACTAATGTTTGTATTAAAAACGTACATGCGAAACCAGGGACAAGAGCTTTCCTTACTGATCTGAGCTATGTTTGCTGGTGCCTCGGAAAATGGGGGCAGATTCTCTGCTTGCGTAGGTTATATATTGACTTGTGTGGAACTGTGAGATTAGCTACTGTCAGACCCTTAGTTAGAAAACTTTGCCCCACGTGACACCACAGCACAAGTGGATGCCATGGGATAGGTGCTCTTGGATCTCTAGAGTCTTCAAAGTGCCTTGAAAGTTGTGGTGGTTTTTTCATAGCTGGTTTCTTAGTAGAGAGTGTCAAGAGCACCAGGCCTTTTCATTCAGTTAAATACATGTGCAAAAAATCAAAAATCCATTGGATTCAACAGCACAAAGTTTCTAACCATTGTTATGAAATCCAGATTATTCACAGACAATGACCAATGTGCTGAAAACTTACTTGTTAGTGGACACTTATTAAAGCAATATTTATTTAACAATATAAAGCTCCTACTTTTTCAATAGTTTTTTTTCTTCTTTTATTTTAGGTACTATGATTCTTCAGATTTGAGGAGCAGCACTTTCTCTAAATGGGATGACAATACAGATTCTTTTTGGAAGAAAGAAAATAACAGTAGAGATGTTGATGTAATGTTAACTTCAAAAAGTACAGGATTTTCAGACAGGTATACAAAGAAAACCTAAGTGATTTTTGTACAGCAAGCCCAAGCTTGTTAATATGATTTGAGTTCTGGTCATAGTAGTGGGATTTTTTTCAGTCTAGAGGGTAAATTTGGCCAACACTTATCATCAGTCAAGGGACTTCCTTGGGAGTTTCTTTTGTAAGCTGAATTTCCTGTTCAGTTATTTAAATTTTAAGCACTGTTTTGTTCAGTGCTGTGGAGTATATGTGCTGGAGGTAATTTCCAAAGCATTTCAGCAAAACAAGAAGTCAACAAAAGATGTGGAGAGAAACTCCAATTATTTGCACTGTTTGAGAGCATACTTGCTTTATTTGCTTTGTTTATTGCCTAATGAATGAAGCAGAACTCAGTTACCACGTGAATGGAACTGTAGAGTACTCAGCTTTCAGGATGAAGGTATTGAAGATACTTGGAAACAACAGGTCTAGTTGTTGTGATGATAAAAAAAGAACGTATTTATTTTCTGACAACTGTGGTTTTATCTTTGTAATCAAGTGGAAAATACAAGAATGTGGGGGTTTGTGTTCTTGGTTGGTGTTTTCTGCTTCTGTTCTTATTACCTATATTTTCATTTGCCTGTACAATGCAGTTTGTGCATTTAAGTACAACTCCCTTTTATAAACACAAGCATGTTCTATTTTTTCCTAAAGACTGGACCAGTGATGCATGTTACACAACATAGGGTTTCGTGTCCATAATGCTGTTACTTCTTTATTTGAAAAAAAGAAAAAAGAGAGAAAAAAGGCAAATGTTGAGTATGTATGTTTGAGGTGGAAGGCAGTGATAGCTCAAAGGATGTCGAACCTTTTTCTACTATTACATTTAAATCTGAATTTCACTGACATTGTGTTTTGGGTTTTTTTGAGGTTTTGTAGAAATATTCTGTCCTTGTTGACGTAACTTTGGCTTGATTTTTAAATGAACTCTAAAAATAAAGGTACAGGATTAATGAGTTTGAAATACTATATATCCACCATCTTGTAAAACTCACTGGAATTTTATCTGCTGCTGTATGAACTTAGTTATCTGAAATTTTTTATCCTGGATTCATATTGATTTAATTTTTATTTAAAAAAATCACAGTTATACTTTAAGGCTTCATAAAACAAAGATGATAGTGCTTCTTGTTTGATTTATCACATTCTGCCATGATATAAATAGAAGTTACATTCATTAATGCGTTTATTTTTCTTTTAGGCCTACATCTCGTCGTAAGCCTGAATATGAACCATCTTTAAACACAGATGAGGCACAAAAAAAATTTGGCAATGTAAAAGCAATTTCATCAGACATGTATTTTGGAAGGCAAGATCATGCTGATGTAAGTAGAAAGCAGTCACAAATATTTTTGTATGTTAAAATACTATTTGACTATAAACATGGTGTTCTCGTATAACGAGAAGGCAGTAAATAGTTAAAATTGGTAGAATTGGTAAGTCTATAGAATTATGTCCACTTTAATATTTGTTTGATAGAAATGTATATGTCTCTGATAACTCTGATATAGTTTAGTATTTCCTAAGGAGTTGCAGCTGCAAGTAGGACCTTACCACCAACATCATTCCTCTCTGATAGAAGTGGTAGACTATGATTCAAGCAGTCTTCATTTTTGAAAGAGTCAGCCTGATGCTAGGTGAAGGCTTACTTTTGTTTGAAATACTCAAACTGATGCTAACAAACCATTGTTAAAACAGCTGTCCCCTTCGTACTTGTTAGATGGGAACATTATTACTCTTGTAAAGCTAAGCAAGCAGATAAATGGTTCAACAAAGGACATGTAATTGAATCAACCTGGGAGTAAGAAACAGATTAATATAATGTTGCATTTTGGAGGTGAGGCATCATTTAAAAAAAATCTATTTTTAAAGAAAAATTAACAATGTAAACATTAATGAAAAAAAAAATTATCAATATGTTACCATTCCCAAGGAACTCAGAAACTAAGTTGAATTAAAACCATCATGTGATAAGAAGGGTTAACATGATGCGAACTGCAGTCCTTTTTCCTTACCCTACCCAACCACTGCATTTCACATTTTTTAGTTGGTGTTTTTAATGGTTGTGTAGTTCTTTCTCCTCTGCCTTTTCAGCAATCCCCTTTTTTAGGGTAGCTAACAGTGAGTAGGCCTCTTGGTGTTGCAATGGTAAATGTCACTCTTCAATCAACTCCGAAATGAGTTGAAAGGATGACAAACTCACACTGTGCAAGTCATGTGAAAACTGTGAGATAGGAACAGCTTTCAGAATGGTCAGCTTCAGCTGGATTTGCATGTTCTAGAACTGTATTGATAATCTCATGGCATATTTGACATGACCACAAATGATGAAAACTTACTGTTATAGTACTTTTTCTTCTCAATTCTTTCCTAGTATGAAGCAAGGGCTCGACTAGAGAGACTTTCTGGAAGCTCCTCTATAAGTTCAGCTGACTTGTTTGAAGATCAGAAAAAACAACCAGCAGGTACATATTGAACAGAGTAAGAAACTGTAGCATGCAGCGGGGGGTGTTCCAGTGCTGCTCTTTTAGTTCCACTCTCAGCTAGCTGTTGCGGTGTTCTGCAAGAAGCGTGCAAAGTGCAGTATGCATTAGTATTGCTAGTAGATCAAACAAGCATAACAGATGTAGTTATTATTTAAAACAAAAGAAAAAGTCAGGTTCTGTATCTTCAGTTCAGTAAGAAGTTCAATATGTTACCCTTTTTTTAATGTGGCTTGTTGCGAACAATAGACTGACTATATCGTAAATAATTTTTATCAAAGAGAAACTGTAATCTTTGATTATAAAAGCAAATGAGACAACACATAAATTGACTCTCCAGTAGATTTTTTTATAAGTTACCATAAGTAACTTAGATTTATATATGTGAAAATAGCTGTGATATAATAGTGACTCTAAGAGGAATAACTATCAAATGTTAGTCGGCTTGAAATTCCCATGTAATCTGTTGCATGGCATATCCATTCATTGAGATACCTGCTTCTAACACTGGTCTTGCCAAACTATTAAGGAAGCTTTTCAATTGGTTATTCTGTTTAAAAGATTTGTTGGAACACCTTACACTGGAGAGTATAGTTCATCGAATTAGAAAGGAAAAAGTATTAGATTAGATTGACTGAAAAATAGTCCCTTAGGCTATTGAAAATCTCTCATGTTTTCTTTCCAACACCCTTTTTGGATAGTGTGATAATGTAAAATAGAAAAGGTAAGAAATACTGGAATATTTTATTAACTTGATCAGTTGGGTTTCATTCTGTAATTTGTAAAGAAATGGAAAAAAAGAACTATTGAAGAACTCGAAATCTGTGAGTAATTATCTAAATAGGCTAGAAAAGCAAACACTGTGCAGCATCTGATTTTACTTTGGAAAAGTTGGAAGAAAAAAAAGCCATGTGACTGTTCGGTTTTGATCCCCTGAAAGCAAGTTTTGAATACACTGGCTAGTGGAGAAATAACTCCTGTTACCAGTTGCTTAAACTGGATTTTAGTCAATTGAAATGTGTTTTTTTAAAAAAAAAAAAAGGAGGGGAGGAGAAGAGACATAAAGCAGAAATCACAGTAAGTTCCTTTAGCCACTTGAAAGAAAGTTTGCAATGTGGTATCATACTTGTGATTAAAAAAGATGATGGGAACATAAGCAAAGAAATGGTGTTTCTGAATTTGTAAATGATAATGTTTTCAATAATACATGGGATTGTGGTAAATACTATTTTGTTATCTAGCTGGTTTTGAATAGTACTTTCTTCATCAGTTTTCTTATAATTTTCTTGCATATAAATTATTTTATATGGAATTAATTTTTCCTTTAATTTGTGGGGGTTTTACACCGTAATGAATAAGAAAATGAACTAGGAAAACGTAAATATAAGTTAAAGATGGGGCAAATTGTGTGAGATAGATATATCTCTGTGTGTCTATAAGTATACGAATATGCCTTTCTATGTGTACATGCATATACGTGTGATAAAATCCTCACCATATTCTGAATAAGGGTACTTACAGGCAGTTATATAGTGTTTACTAAGTGTATGTGAATTGTGCACACGCGGTTACACATCATTGACCGCTTGGGGAGGTTCTTGGGGCTTGTGAGGGAACGCGGAGTTTCCTAATAATGGAATGAAAACTGCAACTTGAGGTTAGTTACTCTCTGTGACTGGTGTGTAACCCGACAGTAAATTTAAAGTTACATTACAAAGACTAAACTTCTGCTAAATTTTGTGGGTTGTTAACTGCTCAAAAATAATAGCGAGGAAAAAATACACTGGGAATTATTAGTTTGTGTATTACAAATTCACACTATATTCAGTCTACAGAACCTTCCTTTCCTGCATGTTCTTCTGTTACACCCCCCACCCCAAAGACTGTCTTTTGACAGTTTTCTCCCTTCTTGGAGAAATTTTACTGCACTTGGTAGCTTGTCTGGTGCTGAATTATTGCCAAGGCCATCATTAGTTCCATAAAATAAAGGTAATCAGGAGTCTGGAGGCTGGCAGCAAAAATGCTGCTGTAATTCTGGGTTCCTTGCCAGAATAAAATGTCCTTTGAATCTAAAGTTGTTTTTATGAGCACTGCTGAGATTTTAGGGTAGCACAGTTTTGGGATGCTTGCTTTTGTACAGAATGCTGTAGGAGCTGTTTACCAAAAAGGGGGAGCTGCAAGAAAAGACTTTTACTTTGCGTTATTTCAGAGCTGGTGCTTATGAAAGCTGGCACGTCAGATGGCTGACTCGTAGATGCTACTTTTGAAGGAAATCACAAGAAAAGGAGTTGCTTTCCTGTCTCATTTACAAGAAGTTTTTCAGACAACCATACATAACCAGAAAAACATGATAAAATTCATGTGGTCGAGAAGTGGTTAGAGCTTTTCTCAGGTTATTTATATCTGAAAGTTTTATTTCCATGACTCTGACTTTAATACAAAAATGCTTTAAGGAAGGCTGGATTGCCGGCTTTGTTTTGAAGTTTTAAAACTTACTTACCTTCACTATAATTTCTATAGCATTTTCCAAGTGTCAGATGTATTAATGCAAAATATGTGTGTATATACAGCATGCAAAGCATACCTATGCGTGCACACAAACAGGGTTCATCACTTCAGCCACCACAGAAGTGCATTCATCTTTAAATTGCAAGGTAGTAACAGCTGTTTAGGATACAAGACAAATGAACATTGCAGAAGATTGAAGTGCAGAATAAATCATATATTATCCAAACATTAATTGCTCAGCTGGGAATACAAAGTGTGGAAGATGATGCTCTGGGTGGAATTATGGACAACTGAAAAAAAATTAAAAGGAAGATGTATACAAGAAATTTGTGATCTATGCCTAGTGTTTCTTACAGTGTTGATCAGACATTGGTATTTGGTGCTTCAGGGGAAAAAAAGGCTGCTTTTAATATAAAATTCTGTTTTCTTCTTGTGTGTGTGTTCTCCTTTTAGGAAGCTACAACATTACAAATGTCTTGCCTTCAGCTCCTGATATAGCTCAGTTTAAACAAGGAGTGAAATCAGTGGCTGGAAAACTTTCTGTACTTGCTAATGGGGTCATGACATCTATACAGGTTAGTCAAAATATTACAATATATTAACCATTAGTTAAAGTCTTTTTGTAGGGATTTAGTATCATGGATCCTGCTGTTGAATCATCTTTAGGGAGAAAAGAATTAATTCAGTTTTGAGCTTTGCAGACCTCTCGTGGTAGACAGCAGATCTTATATTTTTAAAAATAAATCTGTAGCTGATAGCTCACCTTCCTTAGAATATCTTTTTTGCCTTTTCCTTTATATAGTTTATTTCTTTTCTTACAATTGAAACAAAAATTCCATCATGGAAGTTATTTGCTGTCACTTTATTTTTAAAGTGATAGTAGTTCATAACTCAGAATAGAATAGTTTTGTTGGAAGGGACCTACAGCGATCATCTAGCCCAACTCTTGTATTGACTTAAATTAAGTCAGTTAAAGGTGCCTTGGCAGTGATACCTTTGATCCATGGTTGTGCACAAAACTGAGACATCCTGGTCTCAATCATGTAAAGCATGCTTCGTGCTCCAGGTAGTTTGCATTTCCTATCTGTGGTCAGTGGGAGCTCTGGGGTGATTGAGAATCAGGCTAATTATCCTGGAGTTTAACCGTAAACTCCAGTTCTTGGGAGCGCTGGCAAATTTTCTTGAAGTCTTTAAGAATTAAACTACTGTTTATTTTACAAATGTAGGTAAAACTGATTTCTTTCAATGGAAAACATACTCACGTCTGCTGTTTTTCTTTACTTTTCTAGGATCGATATGGTTCATAACATCTTTTGTATCAGCGTAATCAAGTTCATTAAAGAAGGATTTCCCTTCAGCTATACAAGTAATCACACTGCTGATTCGAATGAAGGTTGCCTTAAGACTGTTGATGTTTTTACTTGTTCCAGCATATTAGTTTCCTCGTGCAGCTTTCTGGCTCAGCCTCTTCCTGCTGCTATTTCATCTTTACAGAGCAGAAATCTTGTAGCAACTTGTTACATCTACCTATGCCCCCCCCCCCCCCCCCCCCTTTACAGTCTTATATTTCTTAGCAACCTTAACGTTAGAAGCTTTATTTTATTACTGGTTTTGGCTGTGAGGCAGGAAAGAGAAAGAAGGGTGAACATGTACATCGGAAGTGAGGCTTCCTAATAGAAACCTCAGTGCAGCTGTATCCTTACTCGCACTTGTCTTCAGACTGTCTTATGAGCTGTGGAGAAGAAAATGTAAATTAAGCATATGCTGAGGTGGTATTTAGTGGACTGTAGCAAAAGATAGAATTAAGTTAAACCTGTGCTTACCAGGAAGTAGAAGCTCTTGCAGGCATAAATTGATGTGCATTAAAATGATGGGGAATTAGTGTTTTAAAACAATATTCCTGCTAGAAAATTGTACGCTTAGATGTGAGGTATGGAGAAGACAAGACACATAGTATATTGGATAGGAGATTTCATCCTGTCGTGGGAACACTATTTATTCCTAGTTCTGAAAGTTACAAAAAACTGCAATATAGAATCCTTAAGTGCTTTTTAAAAATCTGTATTGTGTACAAATTGAAAAAAATTAAAATATATAAAGGGCCTAATAGAGTAGTTAGTTAAATACTTGTTAAAAATATTTAGAACGATCTTAGTTTTTTGATAAATTATGAAATATTGAATGAGGAAATAGTGGGGCTGTGTTTTAGACAGTCTAGAATTTCTTGCTGATGCCATCCTGTATAAAAATGATTATGACCTTAAAGAAAAAAACCTCACAACTCAGAATGAGCTCAAGCTAATTCCGTTCTGTAACTTTATTTCTTAATTCCAATTTGTAAACTGCTGATATCTAATAAAAACAGTTGATATAAACTCATTTTTTAATTAAATTTCTACGTGCAGACACCAGTCTCCAGCTTTCTAAATACTGCCATCTGTATTCTGTCTATACAGTGGTCTGGTAAAATTAATCTTTAGTTTCAATTAGTGGAACTGGCTTTCTTACTAAATTGCTACAGTGATTTAGAAATTGAAACACTAACGCTGGGGTAGAAAATAAGTTACTGTCTTGAAATACTGTGTTGAAATACAGTCAACAGTATAGCTGTATTTGTGGTTTAATTTCTAGCTGCTTCTTACATCTAACTCTTGGTTCTGGTAACTTTCTCTTGTGGCTGTTGCATTTAGATTATAATCCAAAAATTATCTTTCTTTTTTGAGAGTAGTACAAGATAAGCATTTGTTCTGCTTAACCGTAGAGCTTTACTATAAAAGACTCGCTTTGTTTTCTCCTTTGCCACCCTGTAGAGATAATTTTGCTAATGTAACAAGAAAATGTACTGGTCAGGGCTTGCTTTGGTTTTCTCTAATTACAGGTAACGATCCTCAGTTTTCAAGCTACCCTTTCAGTTAAGTCTACACACAGTAATAAATTTTATTACAAGTAATAAGTGGTGTGATTTTCAGAGTTGCGATACACCAACAGCATCCAGTGACTTGCAGAAGACCTGCTCCTCTGATAACCAGGCTGCATATTTAGACATTTGTGTGTGGCTGCAGTTGCTTCAATTGCGACAGTGAAGCATAACAAAATGTAATTCTGTCCCTTCCCATGGTTTCTCAGACGTAAAGATGTATGTGAGATCACCTCCACTGAAATAATTGTGTGCACTTTTTATGCATCGTTGTGATACAGAGAACCACTCACAGATGGAAAAATATGAAAAATTAGTATTATTTTCAGTACAAAATAAGAAAAAATTCTAGGAGGGGCAAGGAAACAACTGTGAGGTTATCTTAATTGCCATAAAACATGTGCAGCTCTAACAGATGTATAAACCTTATCCTCTTTGCTGCAATCTGAAGATTACACCACAACGCTGTCTTACTGGTGAACGATAATTCAGTATTTTCAGGAATATTGTGCAGTTCGACGTAAATTGGATTTGTTGTTGCAGATTCTCTATGGCAACCTGTGTACTGCTCATATGTTCTCTTGACGCAATGTCTGGATGAATAGCTCTTGACCCGCAGTACACCTATTTCTGTCTTTAATAAACCCATGAGCTGTCACTGCGTTTCATCAGCTAGAGGTGGGGAGGGGTTGCCATGTACACTGGAAGAGCCAGCTTTAGCTCCTCTAGTCTCCTGGGACTTCAGGATGCCACAGCACCGTTTGTCAGCCTCCGATAAGACTGATGCTGCTGCAAGCGTCACAGGTTTTAGAATGCGTGATAAAACCAGGTATTGGATCCGTTTTTCTGGCAAGTTTCCAAGTGAAACTTGGCACTGGTCACTCATTGAGTTTTGTTGCAGTTCTTCCTTTAATCCTCTCTTACTGCAGTTACACCTCTTGCCTTTTTGAAGCTGGAACTGAACGATGGCAGCAGCAGCTGTGAACCATTCAAGTTAAACTCTCCTCCTCTTAAAGTCCAGTTAAGGATACTGCCTGTAAGGGGAGGAGAAAGAGGATTATTTAATACTTTATATATCATAGAGTTTATTTTTGTAGTTGAATCGCAAGGGTTAGAAGAATGTTTAAAGTTAGTTGTTTAGACACCAGAACCAGCGTGAATTGGATGCAGAGAGCTATACTCTCCTTCCCTGGGCAAACTGGAGAGGGTGGAGGGGGGAATATTGTTACCATCTATTTCTCTTGCCTTTTGCAAAATGGGAGATGCTCAATGCTGTCTTTCTGGTCTGCTTCGCATCAGTTTGTTCCGCTGCTGGGAGAAGCAATTCCAGAGCCGTTTTGATGCTGATTTAAGCTTTTTGCTTTAGAAGGTATTTGTAGTTGCAAGATTGGGCTGAGTGACTCTGCAGCATAGGAGTCTGTAAAGGTTGCTTTAGCTACGTGTATTTTAACACTGCTCTTGTCCTGCTCTTGAGTCAAAGAACTGTCATTGTAAATCAAGGGTGAAGCTGAAGACCATATAAAATGGCGTGTGCTTGATTTGGTTTTGATGGGCTTCTACACACATTAGCTTTTTTTGCATAGCCATGCATATGAGACTGGATTCTCTTTGATCAGTAATGGTCAAGCCAGTGTCCTACAGACCTGGAGGTCGCTGAAGTGGTACAAAGCAGAAAAATGGCAGTGGTCCTTTGCCCTGCTGCTCACAACTTCAAAGACAAACAGTAGCGCTACCTTTGTCTTCTTGCAAGATCAGCTGTAACTGTCAGAGTGCGTTACTTCTAATTTTAGTGCTTTCAATTTAAATTTGCTCTTAGTGTCTATTTTTTAAAACCTTCAAAGGGAGTCTAGCCATGTGGTCTCCCACACAAAGCAGCATGATCTCATAGTTCTTTTTTAACTTCCATTTCTGTGAGACTTTAGCTTCCCTTTACGTGGTAAGCACTGCTGCTTTCTTTCCAAGATGTGAAAACAGAGAAGTATAGCCCTGCTGAAGCAGCCCTGAGAGCCCTGCGGTGCTCGGTGAGTAAGTACAGGGTTGTGTCCGTCCTGTTTGCAGACTATGCAAGAACAGTTTGGCCTCCAGTTTGCAAGCCTCAAAGGGCGCACCTTCTTCAACAACCTCCCTGGTGTCAAAGAGAAAAGGAAAGGAGCAACAGAGGACTTGGAACTTCTCTCCACCTTCAGCTTGGCTTGCAGCTCCGTACTGAAGCTCTGCAACACTCACTTCTTCATTTGTAGCTTTGGATTTTACGTGGTTAGTCTGACCTCTTCAGCTGTCTAAGAGCAGGTTTTGATCTCAAAGATAATTATTTCTGTATCCTAGCTAGCGAGAGTTCAAATCAGTTGCCTACTTACGGATATCTGTTGCCATTAGAGAAGTCTTAGCATTCCTTGCCTGATCGCTGGCTGCGACACCAGAAGGTGTGGGTCTCCTGTAGTGCTGCATCCTCAACCACGAACACAAGGGCATCCGAAGTATCTACAAGTGGGAACCTGTATTAGGCCCTGTGTAGCTGCTTTACGTTGAGCAATATGGATATCTACTCCCCACCATTTGTACTGATGCTCCATATGCTTACAGCAAGGACTCCTACATTTCCTCTTAACTGGGAGATTGGTATGGAAGAGCTGTGGCTTTCCTTGGTGAAGGGTGAGAAAATAATTGTGTTTTTGACGTGATGGGGGACATGTTCCTGTCCCAACACTGCAGGATCCTATAGCATGAGAACACAGGATTCTGCAGTCTGAAGTTTAAGTCAAATGCTTTATCGGTTCATCAACTCATGAGCCAATCAATACAAAACAGTGTTTGTATTTATAAATTGATGTGGTTTTCTCTGAGTTTCTGTTATTGTAATGATTAAGGGGACAAAACCCTTAGGGAGATGAACATGGTGCAGTGCTTTGTGGTTGTGAGGAGGGCTGAAATTATCTTTCTATCTATTCCAGAATGAAATTACACTGACGAATGCATTGCCATTCCATTACTTGCCTTCATCCAGTGCTTCAGAGGTTTGGCGTATAGAGAGGGAAGGTGCTGACGCAGTAAGGTTGCTAAGAGAAGCTCCTTTGTCATGGTCTGTAAAGACCAGCTGCATGACAAAACGTGTGCCTGTAGCAGGGAAAGGCCTAGGACCTATTACTGAAAATAATAAAAGGGGAAGGAAACTGAGATTGCCAGCATTTCCTGTTGTGGTTTAACCCTGGCCAGCAACCAAGCGCCACACAGCTGCTCACTCACCTTTCCCCCCCGCTGGGATGGGGGAGAGAATCTGAAGAGTAAAAGTAAGAAAGCTCGTGGGTTGAGATAAGAAAAGTTTAATAATTGAAAGAAAATAAAATAGTAGTAATAAATTGTAATGAAAAGGAAAACAACGAGAGAGAGACAGAGAGAGAGAAACAAAACCCAGGAAAAACAAGTGATGCAACTGCTCACCGACCAATGCCCAGCCCGTCCCCAGGCAGCAATCACTGCCCCCCAGCCAACTCCCCCCAGTTTATATACTGAGCATGACGTCATATGGTCTGGAACAGCCCTTGGGCCAGTTGGGGTCAGCTGTCCTGGCCGTGCCCCCTCCCAGCTTCTTGTGCCCCCGGCAGAGCAGGGGAAGCTGAAAACATCCTTGCCTAGTGTAAGCCCTGCTCAGCGACAGCTAAAGCATCCGTGTGGTATCAACGTTCCTCTCATACTAAGTCCAAAGCACAGCACTAGGCCAGCTACTAGGAAGAAAATTAACTCTGTCCCAGCTGAAACCAGGACATTTCTTTAGAGAAAGATTTCATCTGTTACCCGAACATACCCATTCCCCACACTGTGCAATCTCTGACTGAGCAGTGGCTCCATCTGAAGGCTGAAGCTCACAGTGCTTGGGCATGAGGTAACACTTTTAACTCTGCATAAGAATCCCTTTTAAAAGCTGATGTAGAGCTGGATTTCTGAAGTACAGAAGCCAGCCGTGGAAGAGACACCTGCTTGCTTTCTTCAGCTTTCTCATTATATTGATGTGAATTTCTGCATTCCTTTCTGGTAATACATAACGTGCTCATGATGTTTTCTATTTGTCTGACAGTTCTTTCCTGTTTATATCAAAATTATTTGACACAGTAATAATTCATGATTAATGCAATTACAAATGTGAGCAATGCTGGGGGATCCAGAGGCATTAACAGGGTGCTTTGGAGACGCACAGTTCACAAGAAGCTTGACCAATTGGAAGTGAATGGGCTGTATTGTACTTGTCACGGGCTGGACTGCATGTATTTTCCAATCCACATTTGCAGCTCCTTGTTTTCAGTATCTGAAGACAACTGTTACATTCTATAATACTAAATGCCACCCTCTTTGTCTTGGAATCAAGAACATCAGAAAATAAAGGAAATGCAAAGCTATAGGTGATTTATTCTAGCTAGCATCTTAGTTGTTAACACCCAACATCCACCGAAGAGGAGTGCTTTTTCAATACCTGATTACAACAGGGAATAACTGACGTGGAACTGAGAGCCTTCAGCAGCCTTCAGCTGCTCCTTGCCTAAGAGTAACCTAATGATGTGGCTTTTTTGGTATGTGCCCCTTTCAAGCTCCTGGGCTACGCTCTGTCACCTTCTTTCCCTGCCCTCCTGCTCAAGGTTAGAACAACCTGGGTAAGAAAAAACAGAGAGGCAGCACGGCGTCAGGGATGGGTTTGGTTCGGGTACTCTGGAGATCATTTAGGTGAACCAGTTTTTCTAGACCCATATAGCTGCAGTGGAGGGTGGTGAACTGAGGGGGCAACTGCTGGAGCGGGCTTTCCCAGCCAGGTAAAATAAAGTCATGGGTATGCTCAGTGAGTTTTCCTAAGATTTTGGGAGTTGACCCTTCACGAAGAGAATGAAGGTAATCACTGCAACCTAATCACCGCAACCTGACTTCAGACCCGGAGTAATGCTCATCAAGGCTGAGTTCTTCTTAGAGGAAAGAGTTTTTCCTCTCTTCCCCAGCTTGATTGAATAGAGAAATCAACAATTTGCTTTCATCTGATTCTGACTAACACAAAATTGTCTTAGTTTTAAAACTAAGCTGATGGTTATCTCCATAATTTTTTGCTGTCTGAAACCCTTTGCTAAATTCAGTGAGGAGGAAATGCGACCACTGACACCCCCCCGGCTATTTGAGTTTCTTTACAAACTCGGGACGGCTTTGCTCTGAGCTGTATTTTAAAGGTGCTCCACAGACCCACCTGGCAGTTGTTACGGACGTGGAGACAAAATGCTGCCATCGCATCTGAGGGAAGTTTTCTGATGTCCCTGCCTGCTGGGTCTGCTCTTTATTAGGGGTGGCTGAATTGTGGGTACTCAAGCAGCACCATCCAGTTACCCAGTGGATCTAAGACAACCTGCACATTGCTGTCCCGCTTCTATAAATGCAACTGAAAACAGGATTTCACTGCACTGAGAGAAGTCTCTCCTGAGACATGACGAGAGCCCCAGTTCATCTCGGCAGCCCGGTGCTGAAGGTAAGCCCCACCACCGTTGTCTGGTTTGTGAAGGCCAGATGAAGACCTTACGTAGGCCGTTGTACTGTTCCCAACCCCCTGCTTTCAACTGTCCTTCAAATGTGAAAGAAACCGGTGATTATAGATTCGAAGGGGCAGAATTAAGGCACGTAACAATGATAAAGTGAACCCAAACATCCTGCTCTTGGGTGCGGGGGGGAACGTGTCTATGAGCTTATAATGCAAATACCTCTTTTCCA